GTGTGTGTGTGTGTGTGTGTGTGTGTGTGTGTGTGTGTGTGTGTGTGTGTGGGTGGGTGTGTGTGCGTGGGTGTATGCATGAGTGCGTTCGTGTGCATGCGTGTGTGTGTTTGTGTGTGTGTATGTGTGTGTGTGTGTGTGTGTGTGTGTGTGTGTGTTCGAGCGCCAACATCCAACTGTCTTTATCTTCACTCTCACGGACGTATGCCCCTCCCCCTCCCCCCTTCCCCGCATGTATTATCGCTTACTCAGAGTTTTTCCTATTCTTTCTTGACCTTGGCCCCAGCCTTTCGGGGCGTGTTAACCTTCGGGTGAAACAACGCGTAGGCCTACGTTGTTGCGAGACATCGTGTCTGTGTTTCTCTGTGCTTGTCTCCGTGTGTGTGTGCGTGTGTGTATGTGTGTGTATGTGTGTGTGTGTGTGTTAAAGCGCACAGCAGTCCACCAGCGAGCCGTGACATTTGTTGTTACCGGAGATAACGCACGCACGTTGGAGACCGTTCTTGTATTACGTAGCACTGGCTCTCATACGTAAGTATTTTCTACTTTCTGTTTGGTAAGAATTTCACAGCACTTGCGACACTATTAAGTCATATTAGTAGGTTTATCGAAGATTACAGGTGTTTCAAGAGACTAACGAACACTGCGAAAAAGGAGAAGAAATTAAGAAAGAATTATGTTTCATAGGATAGGTTTGAAGAAGAAAACCTCACCACCGAATCCGCCAACCATTCATGTTAATCACTTTCAATGTCTCGATTCAATTGAATTCATTCGAACAAGTATGTTCATGCATCGTATTGTCAGTGTGTAGAGTTGACTCTGTGTTTTAGTGATTGTCTGGTCTTCATGACGGCCACAACAGATGTGAACACTTATATTGATCCATCCAGTTAACTAAGGCTGCTCAGGGGAACTGTCGGGACTTTTCACGCGATTGTTACTGGGGAACAGTTACTAGATCTAGATCTAGTGTTTTACAATTAATTTTACTAGTTCTTTTTTTACAGCTTAGCTTGGCCTGATTACTAACAGTATAGAATTCACTTGACCAGATACGTTTCATTTCGTCTCGATTTTCAATAATCAGTATTCAGTCAAATCGCCTAAATTTATGTTTTGGTTTTGTTATTTTTTTGTTTTTTTTTAGCTTTTTGAGCTCATTCTAATTTCTATATAAAAATGCAATTGGTATACCTAACTATGACCCCGTACCTAATAAAGCGGTTGTCAATGCACTGTTGAACTGTTTTTCAAATCTAAAAACATTCAGCTCTCTGAACCATTTTTAAAAATTATATTTTTCAAAGTGGAAAGTGAGAATTAAGCGCCACGTTGTGCCTTTATGTTAAATAGTTTGACAGACACCAGTTTAAATCAACCTCTCATACACAGGGGCAAAGGTTGGCGACTTGTTTGACAGGGTTATCAGAGTGAGACGAAGAACTGAATAAACATGAACTCGCACGCTGAAAGCTTTCCCACTATGCCTATGGGCACAAGGATTAACAATAAACCAACTTCGTATGTCTTATGTAATAAACTATCACTGTATTGTGAATGAAGACAAATCACGAACTCATATGCACGTGCCAAATTATCCAAATAGAAATTTCAGGACAAATCTCACTTTCGGCAAAAGGTGATGATAATTTTAACAAACTTGCGATAGGCCTATTGGTCTCAAGATTTTGTAATCGTAAAATTAACTGACTTGAAATGTGAATACACAACCAGGAGGCTAACATAGCATTAACGTGTTTTAATAGATCTCAATAGAGAGAAGAGCAGGGTTTTTCTACGCGTTCGCCATACTGTACAGTGATGATTGTGCAGCTAAGACTCCTAAGAGGTTATAGTACGAGAGCTCGTGGCAGTGAAGAAAACGAACGGGAACTGTGTGTACCTCTTCTGGAACTCTGCGTGCGGAGAGAAAACAACGGACGGGTGAGTACTTTTCGAGACCCACGTGGTTCCATCTCGACAGTCGTGGTAGGAAATCTCCAAGCTTGCTCTGAATTGTGGGGGCAGGGTGTGTTTAAAATACTCGAGCTCGTGGGGAGCATGGTGGGGACTCAGACTGTTGATGTACATCTTGAAAAAGGTGTGTATATGGGGGGGGGGGGATGCCGCTGAGGGCGAGAAGGCCTCCTTGTCTGACTCGCGCGACGTCTCTGCCGCGAGCTCTAGAACTACCCTTTTCCTGAGCAGTGTGTAGGAGCTCTGACGTTACGTCATGCGATACACACTGAGTAACCTCACTACATGACTGCAGATTCAAAATTGTCAATTTCAAAATAATGTTTGCTAAAGTTTGAATATCGGGTCAATTCAGGTTAACCGCAAGCCACGTTTATTTTGGTGCGCTGATTCCGTAAATGAAATCCGTTTTTAGCTGGGATAATTATTTTTAAAAATTATGCACACAAAATTTGATCGCGTGTTTCTGCAAACTCCAAATGGATTCTTATCCAATGTTATGTTGCTTACAGTAAATTTGTTTCAGAACACTGCCAGCGCCGAACTTAGACTGGTGGCAATATTGAGTCTATTCCGTCCCAAGCCTTAAATGCAGAGGGTAAAAATGGTGATTCCATTACGATACACACATGCTGTAAAAACGCATAAAAAGCAATGAGTACCGATACCAGGATCAATATCGTTAAGATTAAGTATTCGTTTCACACAGTCATTGTTCTTCGATCGGATCCCTGTTTTTCATGGTCGCCGGGGAAGTTCTTCAGGTTTTACAACAGACTTGCATAATATATCATGATATTGGATGTAGATTTGAGTATCATTCAGTATAGTGTACATAGGAGTATCTACCGGCGCCCCTAGTATAGCGGTTTGGCGTTTTGCCGTCACACTTAGAAGACCCAAGTTCGATTCCCGTGTGGAGAGAATTTTTTATCTTTCTGATGGGACGTTGGATCCTTCTCAGCCCGGGTTGGCCTTGACAGGCAGTGTGGAAGCCCGCCTCCTAAATAATCTAACGTACGTCAAAGGGGGCGTGAAATACCTACATTGGGGGAAAAAGAAAAGAAAATAGGACTAGCTTTATAACAGAATATCGAAGAACAAATATTTAGTTTCAACGTTACCTGATTTACTCTGATTAAAAGACAATTGCTGATTCCACTGACACGTATCACATTTGTCACATTTTGCCCCCCCCCCCCCCCCCCCCGGGGACTAGAGTTTAGATCATCCAGGAGAAGGGCTGTTTTATCCTGTCTGGTAGAGCCAACCGAGACTGAGGGGTAATAGTATCGTAGTAGAAAGACGAAAATAAGTGGTACACCTTACAAGTCAATAGACTTCTTTGCTCGGGAATGGAAGTCACGCCGTCTGCGTTCAATGACGATCAGTCCAACTTTTCCACCATCTACACCAGCAACCCCCCCCCCCCCCCTCTCTCTCTCTCTCTCTCTCTCTCTCTTCCCCTCTCCCTCTCTCTTTCCCCCCTCTCTCCCCCCCCCCTCTCTCTCTCTCTCTCTCTCTCTCTCACTAAACTCCAGAATATTTTTTAAGTCAGCGTTTTACGGCACTTCCGACTCAATTAGGTCCTATAAGTGCCATTAGATGTGGTACATGAGAGCAACAAACACGAAAAAGGAGGAGCAATATGGACAATAAATGTTTGATAGAAAAGAAGGAGCAAACTACAACAGAGAACCTCCCAAACACTCACCTCTGGAATGATCGTAGAAGAAAAATACAAACATTAAAAAATAATATACAAAACTGTATCATAAATAAAGAAGATCCCTGCCCGTCAGTTACGACCTTTGGAACATGAATGTAGTTGGGAGAAAATTAGTGAGCTGACACCAGTTTGTCGTACCTACCTGTATTTTTTTCTGTCGCTTATACCGTGAGAGGGGGCTCTCGTGGTCTAGAGGATAAGGTGTTCGTCTCTCATTCAATAGGTCCCGGGTTCGAATCTGGATAGCAGCGGGAAAAAAATATTTTCTAAAATGTTCTCCTTTCACATCTTTTCCTGATCTCTAACAATGCTCTGTCGTCTGCTTTCGTCTCCACTTTCTGCCCCCCCCCCCTCCCCCTTTCACCTCCTTTGCCCCCTTCTGTGGGCTCCTGACTGTCTCTGGAGCCTTTGTACTGCTACACCTTAGCTCCTTCTTCCTGCTGTCTTTCAGCCACACTCCTGGTCTTATGGTAGGAAAGATCAACGCCTAGTCTTCTGGGACAAGGTCGAGAAAGCTCGGAGGTCCTGAGTGCAAGTTGCGTTCGTCAAAGATCCCTTGGTGGTCCAAAATCGATAAGAGTTGGTTTCGGCTGCCACCCGGGCAAAATTCCAAATTTCCCACCAACTGAAATTTTTAAAAATATGTCCCGCGCCCTCATATGACCTTATGCAGTTGCGAGCGCCGTAAAACACTACCCCCCCCCCCCCCCCCCCCACCCATACTGCGAGATACCCAGGGAGGGAACATCGTCGGGTCTTGGGAAACAGGAAAGTCAACTAGAGTAGGAAATTAAGGAACTTTAGGAAATTAAGGAACTTTTTATAATAATAATAATAATAATAATAATAATAATAATAATAATAATAATAATAATAATGATAATAATAATAATAATAATAATAATAATAATAATAATTGCATTTAAAAAGTGCATCCACGCCCTACAGCATGCTCTTTGCACTTTACTATTATTGTTATCCAAGCAAACCCTGGTGCACCTAGAAACATTCTTTGTTTCCAGAAAGCCTAGTGCAAGCTACGGATTGAACGTGCTCGAACACTAACATACTGGCACGATCTTTCACTGGGTACTCTTTCCCACCTGGGCGAAGGGAGGAACATTTGTGTGAAGTGCTTTTCTCAAAGATAGAACGTCTTGGCCCTGATTGGATTTGAACCCTCGACCTTACGGTAACGAGTCCGAGAGCCTAACCACTTGGCCACCGACGCCATCTGAAAACAGTTTATAAAGAGAGAAAAAAGACAGCTGATCCACATCAGAGGCAAATGTTTAACACTTTCAGCCGACAGCGGTAAAAACAGACGTCACGTGTTGATAAATTTTGACTTTCTAGAATGAGACAATGGGAAAAAAGACACGAAAAAGCTCACAAATAACAAAAGAGAACAAAGCAAAACAAAAATATATAAATATTACAACAAAAAAGTATTTTTTAAAAATATATATGTTATATTATAGTTTTAGTTTACGTCCTTGTATGACTGCGCATTTTTGACTAAATGAGCTTGAGAAAAAAAGCAACCTGGGTGTGTGCTCAAACATGGTCATTCGGGAGAACATTGAAGGCTTCCTGAATAGGAAAAAAAATGAACGAAGCAGAAAAAAAAGAAAACTCTTGCAAATCTAATAGAAGGAAAACCCAAAGCTCCGGAAAAAACCACTCGGGGCAAAGCATGTCAGAGAGTACCATTAACAAAAACAAGAAAAGTGCATGAGGCAAACAGGATATTGTTTTACTTACACAAAAACAGAGCTATATGCAGGAATATTCGTTTCAAAAGGTATCATGACGGACATTA